GCAAAATGGCAAAAGATATTTTTTGTCCTTTATTAACTGCTTTAACACTTAATTAATTCCTAGACAATATGTGCTTAATTTTTACATAAAGAACCTATTTGAATACATTAGTATTTTTGATAATTTGATTTGTATTTAAGTTGAATTTTTTATTTTTAATATAATTTCAAGTCTGAATTAATCAAGCTGTGTGAATTTATTGGGTAAATCTAATTGATAAACCATAGTTTATCTGTGATCCATAGTTGGCGAAATGGCAAAAGATATTTTTTGTCCTTTATTAACTGCTTTAACACTTAATTAATTCCTAGACGATATGTGCTTAATTTTTACATGAAGAATATAATTTAACCAGTACTGAAGTACACAACTACAAAATATAAGGATCAATATATAAAACCAGCATCAAAGAATAAAAGGAAACATAATTTAAAGACCCATTTCCTTTTTTTGTTTATCAGCTAAATTGGAATCAATTCTTTATTGGATTACCATCAATACCATGAATATGACATTCCACCCTGGGATAATTTTACAAAAATTAGGGAATTGTAAAAATTTCTTTCGTTCCTTTATTCTACAACCTCAAGGTTTAATTTAAGGGTTACTAGTGCAAAATCAGTTTATAATTTTAGCGGTATTCTAGATAATTCTCTATTTATTTATTTGCTTAATGTCCTATTTTTATTAAATAAAGATTTTAAATAATGATACTGGATGATATCTTCATAAATACCAATTCCTTCCGTTGTAATCACCTTATTACCCTTATTACATAAAGACCGAATATTTAATAATAGATCGAATAGTGCTCTCTTATATTCATCAGAAATTAGACTGTCGATGGTTTCATAAGGACAAAGCCATATCTAATTCTGGTTAGAAGCTGAATGCGCAACAGCAACTTAGAATCTTTTAGAGACATACAACTAAAGTGTATCCGCCGTGTCACTATGTGTTTGTGGTTTAGAACATCATTTCGATCAAATCTATGTTGTAACTAAAGCCGTGAGAAATTCCATTTTCACTTCCATTTTCCCTAACAGATATTTGTATTATTTCCTAAATTAATACAATCTAATAAAGGGTTTGCATCAGAAGACAGGTTTTCTTTGTGTATTGCCAGCACTGCTTTAATAACAGTCATAGTAGTGATATTAGCAGATTTTCATACGCTTCTGTCTAACTGGATGACCATCCACCATATCATGAATCTCTCATGATCGTAGAGCGATATATGGCAATAGTATCTCTCACAGATCACGATTAAATAACAAATTGATTTCCCTCAAACTATACCAATCATAACTTATTCTGAGAAATAATATCCTGACACATATTCTGATCCCGTAAGTAATTCGGTAGATATTTTCGAAAAGGTAAGTGAAAAGACTTTGGTTAAGTTGCAGAAAGGATGTACTGAAAAGACGTTGAGAATCTCCTTATACTGAACTAGAATCGACAGTTCTACCAGAAGATCCATTAGGAAGGAAGCTATGGAGCTAGTATTTATTGTCAAGGCCTTGAACCGAATCATTATTTGCCAGGACATGATGTGAATTAAGATCCATGGTACATTCCCAGAAATTCATTTGGATCTTGCTTGTAGAAAAAGTATTAGTCATTTCTAAAAACGGATCTGGTTTCCATGGTTTCCAGAAGTAATGCCTCGCTACTTGATTATGTTGACAAACTTCAAATCCTCTTAAGTATCTTGAATATATTTTATTCACGTGAAAGATTAAAGGATTGGCACCAAAGAATCGGAGATCCAAAGGGAGAGGAGAGTTCTCAGATTCGCAGGATTCTTCACTCTCGCCACAAAAAATATATATTGATAAAAGTGGATCTATAGATCCTTCACGAATTTCAAGCAGCATAAGTTTTTAGGATTCAAAGACGAATATCCTATTGTTATGTAAACCTTAAAAATATTGTTAAGCACGGTCAAGAGTGCATTCAATAGAAATTGAATTGAAAAGTAAATAACGCGTACCATTAAAAGATCTAATAATATTTCTTAGTGGAGATCAAGCGTAAAACTGCTTAAAAAATTGAGGTTTCGAAACATCCGTTGTCGAAACTTAACATTTCGGCGTTCTGGACTTCCAGTATCTCGAACCCAAATCTACAGAAATAAGTAAACGTTTCCATTTTTTTAAAATAAATAAATAAATAAATAAAGACTAAAGTTTCCTCAACTTTTTAGTTGCGAAACTTACCATTTCCCGTACCCCACGCGTTAAATGCTCTGAAGTCTAATTAAAAAGATTATTTTTTCTTGATAAATCAAAGAAATAGGAATCTTTGTGTAATGAATTAAAAGTTGAAGCCCTCACTCTTCAGATATATTGTTCATGCTTGTCTAATTAGTATAATTAGCGAATTTATTCGATATGGTAATAATGGAAATTGGTTTTGCATTACATAGTTCTTGGCTTCTCGAGGAACATTTGATATAAAAAAAAAATTATTATAATATAACTTGTCGTCATGTGAATCGCCATACTTTTGACCAATGGCAAAAATCGGTGAGATTTGATGGTACATCAAGTCGATTTTTCATAAACGTATTAACGGTCAGATAGTATTATCGATTCGCCGTTCTTGATTGGAGAGACTCTTTATTGTTCTTGATTTTGTACTTTTTGAATAAGGTTAAGCAAAACTCAATTAATTGTGGATACTAACCATTTGGAAGCCCAATCAACCCAATCACATGTAGATTTATCATGTGACCGAGTGGAAACCAACACGTCTCCCGTAAAATAAATAAATATCATATTAATAATTATTATTTATTTTTTTTTTATAAGAAATATTTCTAACAATATAATAAAGGGGGAAACGTATTTAATAAAAAGGAAATTCGTTGAAAAAGTATGGTTATTAGAAGCAGACGACTACCTGATTCAATGTAGATGCATTGATCAACGCGCGTCTACACTATCTCTGACGACGGCCTTTGATGATATCTTTGATCAATAAATAAGTAGGAATATCTAATAATATTATTAAATAGCTGTTGTATAATTATTTTAAATAGATTATTAGCATTAGAAAAGTTCGGGGTCCGCACCACAAATTTTTTAGCCTATACTACATTTATAGCAATAACCCAGATTCACTGACGGATCACGGATTTCATCCGAGTGAGGCGTAAAAGTTACATTTAAAAGAAATATCTTGTTTTAATATTATATAAAATATCTCAGAGTTACACGAACGATTTGGTAATTCATAATATAATAAATATGAGTGGTCCTTATTATTAATTAAATAACTTTACGAATAGGGAATAATATATACCGATAACTGAAATTTATTTATTGATTTTTTACAATATCTATTTGATATTCACAATAAATGGTTGGGGAGTTTATTTTGCACAATAAAGAAAATTCTCACGATATTGTTTTCTTTTACATGAACTACACGTATACAAACAAGTATATTGATTGTTTTTATTTTTTCAATCGTATGATAATTGTTTAGAGGAAGGATTCTAAGGATATAAGGAATATTTTTACTTTATGGGGAAGTTATTATAACTATCTATCTTAATTGTATCACAAGTTTTTTTATAATTCATAAATTCATACACGTCCTAATCGATCACAATCAGTGTCACGACAACCAAGTTTCTGTAATTAGTAGAATAATTAGAACGAATCACTTTTTTTGTTTTATTTCAACAAAACTTTATTCACAGAAAAAAAAAATTGTTGTGCTATTAGTTAGATATCAAATTTGTACCCAAAATAATCAATACTATTTTGAAATTCATTCATTCATAAAAAAATAATAAAAAATTTTTTTTCTAGAATATTTTTATTTTATAATATAGTATATAAAAAAAAATTATGAAAGTAGTAAACTGATGGATCTCTATATATGTGTGACAAAATACTGTAGGCGGATAATAATTTTTATTTGACGATCGTAACGAATACTTCAATTTATCGAGAAGAAAATTTTGAATTTCACAATACAGCTTCTAAAATTCTTTTTTTTTTTATAACAACCTCGTTTTTTTTGGGGGGGAAATAAAAATAAAAAATTCAATAATTTACCTAAATTTGGTTGTTTGTCATTCATTTACTATGATAAGAAACAGATAATAAATTTTTGTTTTTTTTTTTTTAAAAAAAATAAAAAAATTCATTTAAACAACAAAGGATGGCAGGTAAATAAACGCCAATATGCATTCATTGGAATTTTCTAATGTAATATATTTTTAGAATCATTAGTAATAAACTATCATTAGGAATTAACCATAATTAATATAATTAATAATAAAAAAAAATAAAATAAAATTAAAGTTCTCAAGGGTTCTCATGATAATTATTTTTTATCCATGTGAAAAATAATTTGTAATATTATGCAATATATTTTTTTGTAATGTTTCACATATGTTTGCACCATTGAAATTAATTTAATTCTATGTTTGATTTAAAAAATCAATAAACTTTTATAATAACGAACACAAAAATAGTCTTTTGATCCATGTTCTTTGTTCTTTTTGCGAAACTTTAATTATATAATTAATTGCATATAATATCATTTCGTTCGATAGTATTGTTCTCCTTTGCATAATTGCGTAACTGTTTATATACGCCAAGAACAAACTAAACGAAAGTCTTTACTTTAACCTCGTTTTAAACCGAATAGGACATCAGAAATTATGATTTTTGGCCTGCATTATGATGATCTTTGGCGATCTTGGGCGGAATTATAAATGCTTGTCGGTGATACAAGATGGTACAAAATTTTTTACTTTTCTCCGAATTTACAGCATGAAATAAGGTTTTATTGTAATCATAATATATATAATTTAGAATATCAGATATCTTTATTATTGAAATCACATGTTTAAATAAGGAAATTCTATCCCGCTCTTTAAAACTTGAAATTTCAACTTTTTAAACGAAAATAATAATAATAATAATAATAAATAAAAATTACTGTGCCGCAACCCTAAATGATGATATTCAAAAATTACAATGTATTTATTTTACAAATTTATTTACAACTTATTAAATTAGCAGTTAAATCAACATCTATTGCATATATGCCATTTATAGAACAAAATAAAATAACGAAACTATAATTTTATATTATGAACCTTAATAATTTAAAATTTAGTTGAAAATTAAGTTAATCAATTTAATCAATGAAATCAATTTTATCGAAATATCAATGAAATGAAATGCATTTCGTAACAAAGTATTAAGAAAAAAAAAATCAATTTAATAATAGAAAAATCATCAAAAATAAAATTTATTCATTATTTCTTGACACGATAAATAGTGCAGTGACAATTACATAATAATCAATACTCTGCTGGCGTCAAAAAATGACAATACATTGACTTTATTGTCAAGGTCGGTAAAGTTTATTTTTTTTTTTTGAATTTTATCATATGTTTAAAACTTTCAACATATGCATATGGTTCATGACCTTTGTACACAACCGAAAGGATCGCTGATCGACATGTTATACATCAATAATAATTAGCCACTTTAATTTTTTTGTTTTTTAAATTAAAATTGTATGTATATATTATATACTGTATATGTATATATATATATATTGTACATATATATTATTTACTTATTTTTATAATTAATTTAATTAATTACTATTATTACTTTAAATTATGCCCCTTGAATAATTTATTCTATTTGCGATAAAAATTCAATATATCTAAATATGACTTATTTATATTCTCTATTTTTTACGTTAATTATTTCCGTATCTTCTTATAATCTTAAAAACATGCATTATCTTTCTTTGAAAGGTAACATAAAGGCATTATTATTTAGATCACAAGCTAAATGATTCATATCTGTCTCATGATTTACACAAAAATGTTGAAACGGCGCGATATTTCCGCGATTTGAAATCATTTAATCATTTTCATGCATGTTATTATACCAATATATTGAAATGAACGCGTTGTTCTTCGTTTGTATGATGCTGCGCAAGGTTTAAAAATTAAATATAAAAGCAACCATAATATAGTCTCGGTCAAAATAGGCCTCATAAGAATTATAAGCATGAAACAACAAAAAAAAAAAAATATAAAAAAATAAAAAAAAATAAAAATAAGGTAAAGGAAAAAATAAATCATGGCTATTTAAAATGAATTAATCAAATCAAAATCATGAAAATAATCTTTTTTATTTTACAATCTTTAGTTTCGAAATATGATCACAGAAAAAAAAAAAAATTTTCGACTTTTTTTTTTTTCGACTTATTCGTTATTTTCGTTTTTTTTAAAAAAAATTATAATTTCTTTCGAATCGTTTTTTTATTATCGTTCAAGAATTTTTTTTCTAAAAAATCATCGTTTTAATGATGTTTATACCTTAAAGAAGTTTTTTATTAAAAATAAATGCTCATCACGAATTGTAATTTCTTTCGAATCGTTTTTTTATTATCGTTCAAGAATTTTTTTTCTAAAAAATCATCGTTTTAATGATGTTTATACCTTAAAGAAGTTTTTTATTAAAAATAAATGCTCATCACGAATTGTAATTTCTTTCGAATCGTTTTTTAAAATTATCGTTTTAAAATTTTTCTTTCTAATCTTGGATATTTATACCCATATAAAACCCATATATTTATTTGTATTAATAAAATAAATAAAATATACTTTAAAATTACTGTTTAAACTTTAACTACTGGTATACCTTAGTTATAACATCGGCGTATCACGTGATCTGATTGCCGATCGATCAATTATTATTTTTTATTCTTTATCGGTTTCTTTTTCACCGATTTTATTTTTTTTTTATTTTTTTTTTATTTATTCTTTTCGGTTTCTTATACCGAAATTTTTTTTATTTTTTTTATAATGAAAATTTGAAAAAATGTATTTAAAAAGGATGTGCATTTAGAAAGAAAAATTATATATGATCTCTATGTACTTGAAACTGTATAAGAGGATGCATTTAAAAAAAATATACATATACAGTATAATATGTTCACTTAAAGAGAATAATGCACTTAGAGAAAGTTGACTGTGCATAAAAATATTTTGATTAATTATTATTTTTTTTTACTAAAATATTTAATAAATATCTTACATATTTTATACGATACTGTTTTACAATTGAAATCTCAATTTTATTGGCTGATTTTTAGTTATATGATTTCAGTTAGATTTATTCGGAAAATTTGAAACAATTCTTAAATTTGTAATTTTCCTAATAATTCTATATTATTTGTTTGTTTAAAAAAATTATTTCCTTTTACTTAAAATTAATTATTATATAGGGTTTTTACTGGCACTATATTTTTTTTAATGCTGGTTGATTCACTTGATTGTCATAATTTCAGTCACCAGTAATCATCACCCCTTATAATAGTTAGAAAAATTCTATTATATATATTTAATATTATAAATCAATTTATAATTTAAAATTACTGTAAACATTTAAATTAAATATTACTAATTGTTAAAATTTAATATATTGTTCCACTCCATTTGAGAATAATATTAAACAAAAAATTCAATGTAATTTTGAAATTTGAGATTTAATATTATATAAAAATTTAGAATTTAAAATTAAAAATTTGGAATTTTGGATTTATTTATTAATCTTATTGTATAAAAATTTGGAATTTAGGGTTTAAATTTTAAAATTTTAGAATTAATAATTATGAATTTAAATAATATATATAATAATTTATCAAATAAAAAATTTCTTTTTATTTTAAATAATCTTTTAAATGAAAAAATAATTGTATTTATTAATTAAAAAAATAATTGTATTTAATTAAAAAAAATAATTGTATTTAATTAAAAAAAATAATTGTATTTAATTAAAAAAAAACAATTGTATTTAATTAAAAAAAATAATTGTATTTAATTAAAAAAAACAATTGTATTTAATTAAAAAAAACAATTGTATTTAATTAAAAAAAACAATTGTATTTAATTAAAAAAAACAATTGTATTTAATTAAAAAAAGTAATTGTATTTAATTAAAAAAAGTAATTGTATTTAATTAAAAATGATTAATTAATTGAAAAAATAATTGTATTTAATTAAAAAAATAATTGTATTTAATTAAAAAAATAATTGTATTTAATTAAAAATAATTAATTAATTGAAAAAATAATTGTATTTAAATTAGTATATGATACACTTATATAAGTAAGAATATAAATCTAATATTATTAATTAATAAACCATTCATTATAGTGATCATACTAAAAAATATCTTATATGTGTACTACTGTTGGGTAATCAATCTGTATCAGTGAGTAGTAAACGTATGAAACATTACGTTCTTAGTTAAACAGCCTCACTTTTTTTTACTGGTCAATTATAAATCTTACTATATTGCGATAAATATGCTTTTTTCTTGTAAATTAAAGAAAATTGTAATAAAAACCTAAATATGCCTCCTAATATATCTATTATTCAAGAATATAGGTAAATTTTGAATAGTAGTTCATATATAAAATATAGGATTCTAAAATACAATTTAAAAATTACAATACAAAACTAAGACTAAAGTTGTACAAATTTAATTTACTTTTTAGAAATGATGAAATAACGTAAATATTAAAGGCTTATTATATTTAATGATTTAAGAGTTAAGTTTATACATAAGAAAATTTTTTATCAAATATCATTTCACACAGGTATTTAATATAAATAATACTGAAAATTTGATTCTCTATAATTTCTTAAGATTGTACTACCAGATATAAGCTTTATTTTTTATTGGTAAAATATAAACAAAAGAAAAAAGTTAAAAAATTAAATGAAAAACTAAGGGTGCTATCAGATATTACCTAATATTTTAGGGAAAGGAGGGTAACTAAAGATCTTAGATTACATACAATATTATATAAAGAATTATATATATAATATATCTTACCTAGGGAAGGGGGGGTAAGCTCTTATATTAAAGTGATATTGGGTAATATCTAATAGTGCCCTAATACTAAATAGAAAAAAAATAAAAGAAAAAATCTATATAAATGAAAAAGTTGAATCTAATAACATTCTATGATTTAAGATAATTACTAATTAAATGATTATAATGATATTATTATATTTTTAAAACTGGTAAATATATTTAAATTAATAGTTTAATTATTGATTAATTTATTAATTTTATCCTAAAATAAATTAACTTTTTATTAGTAGTAATTAGATTTTTTTTCTTTGATTAGTTTGGTATATTTAAGTATTTGAAAAGTATATAATATAAAATCAAAATAAAATCAAATTTGTAATTTTTTACTTTTTTACCTTTTTGGATTTAAAGTGTTTAGAAATTATTTGAAAATAAAATTATGTATTATTAAAATTATTAGACTTTATATTACATTAATTATATTATTAAAATATAACAAATAATTAAAAATAATAAAAATACTATATTTTATATTTTTATTATTTAAATATTACATTAATGAGAATTTTTTCTTAGGTAAATTAAAAAAATTTTGTTTTATTAAAAATATATTGATGTGAAAAAAGAAAAAAATAAGTTATCATTATAATATACAATTAATACATACACAAACACACGTTAAATGACTAAAAACAGGCAAAAAAAATGGCGCAAATTGCATAAACTATTCGCAAATTTGTATAAACTATTTACAAATAGTATAGGTTAATTCGCAAATAGCCAAAACAGCCAAAAATAGCCAAAAATAGCCACTGTTTTTCGCACTATTTTTTTGCTGATTTTTAGCATTTCAACCTGTAAAAGTTATATTACTGAAAATTTTTAGTGATATTTTTAGAGCAGTTATTAGTATCTTAAATAAATATATATTTTACTGATAGATAAATGTTTAGCTGATAAGTTATATTTATCCCCTGATCGGCACCATTTATACAGTTATCCGATTGTACTTATACCTACTGGATGATCAATTTATATATATTTATTTATGCGTTTCTAGTACATATTTACTCTAGATAACTAGACAAATTATTTATTTTGTAATGTTAATAGTAAAATTACTACATTTAACAAACTTAAGACGAAAATTATCAATTAAATAATCTTTACGCTTTAAAGGAATTGTGATATTTTGAATTTCAGTGAATGGTTCTGTTTTAGTCTCTTCCTGAGATGATAAATTTTCAATTCTTTGTTCCGTATTTAGATCTTAGGCAGATTTTTCCAAATTTTCTTGCATCGAAATATCCTTTTATAAATAAAGTGTAAAAAAAATTAATAATTATAATGATAATTTATAATAAAGAATTAATTAGATACCTTTGAAATGCCTGGAAGTGTTAACTTTGCGATGTCCAATTTTTGCTTTTCATTTTGTGTTCGATATCTATAAAATAAATGAATTTTAATGACAAAATAAAAAAATTAAATATTATATTATAATATATACTAACGCATTTAATCCTGCAATGGACCGGTGCAATGTTACATTCATTATAGCTTGTGAATCCAATCCTTCGTCATTTAACTTTTGTGCAGTACGTTTTCGTAATGAATGATTTACAATTCTTCTGTTTGTGCAATCAATACCCGTAATATTACAAATTTCTTTTAACATTCCAGATAATTTATCTCGACCTAAATGAAAAGTAGAATACCAATTTTCTAAATAATATATTGAAATTTATTAGTTTGTGTTAAAAATATTGTAGAGAAAGAAATCATATAAAATTGTACCTTCAATATCTTTATTAATACGAAGAAAAAAGTTTTCTTCTGCATTATTAGGCCGTAAACTCAAGTATTTTCTAATGTCATGACATGCTCCATATGTTCCTTGTTCATCTGGTGGAATAATATGAACAGGTTGTTGATTAGAATTTGTTTGGTGATAATATCCTCCCTGGTGAGTTTTATCATGAATTGTCACAATGTTATATCCTCCATCATCACGTTTTTTAAAATGGCTAGCCATAATACTATGATATGATCCCCCTCTACGTGCTGTACAACATCCTACCCATAAAAAGACTCTCCTTAATAATCCATCTGGAGAATTACTTGATATATCAGGATGTTCAAAGATTTTTACCATTTCTTCATCAGTAAAAGGATCAGCTCCATTATATTCACCATTATTGATTTCTTCCAATTCTATCATTCTTGTATGTAATGTATCACGCACTATTCTAAATACAAAATCCTCATGTATATTGAATGGTTCTCTATCTTTAAACATTTCATGATAAAACCGATTTATAGCACATATACCATTATACAGTGAGTTTGCTTTGTATTCCTTTTTGTCTTTTGTTTGAATAACTATAATGAATTCACATAACAACATTGCAATGGCTTTTTTGTCATAAAGGGTCATTAAATCTATGTTTGGTTGAGTGTCATTTACAAAGCTTTCAAATCTAGAAACCCATAAACGTGTATTTTTGTTAGTATTTTTTGGTTTTGCGGAAGAGACATACTTTTGTAAAGTTTCTATACAAGGACGATCAAATGTTTCTTTATTAGACGATTTTGATAATGATTTGTGTATTTCAGAAAGTTGATTATTTTCTAAATGAATAAATCTTCCTTTTAATTCATTTATAGTGACAGTATCATTACTTGAATTTAATAATTCGGAGGCTTTTTTGAAACTAGACATTTTATTTTGAAATTAAAAAGGAGAGAAAAAAAATGTAAAAAGGAGAGAAAAAAAAATGTAAAAATGATTACAAATAGGGTATTTATATTTATTGATATTACACAATAGACTAAAATAGTCTAAAATAGTCTAAAATAGTCTAAACTATATAAATGGCAGGGGATAAATCAATTATCTCCTGGCTAATTGGAATAGTAAAATTTTACTTAGAATCGGAACATGATCGGCCTTCGGCCGATCATTTATCCAATCCTAGTAAAATTTTACTTATTCCTAATTAGCCAGGAGATAAGTAATACATATATACAGTAAGTAAGTAAGGTAATTATAATGAAAGTAATATTTATTTTATATATAATAGGATTAGTATAAATATTATATTATAAAGAGATAATTGTTATAATAAAAATATTTCTTTAATTTATAAAGACTTTTAATATTATATTGTAAAGGAATAGTTAAGAGAAAAATATTTCTTTTATTTATATTTATATTTATTAGTTTATGTAATTTTTAAAATATATAAATACAAGTTGATTTTGAATTTAAGTTCAATACCATTACTTTATAAAATAATAAAATAAAATAATAAATACTTTTTTTTAATTATAAATTTTGATTCTTTTATTTTACCTTTTTTTTTATAATAAAAATGTGCCTCTTTAATTATTAATTTAATTAAACCAGGAATAAAATATATTAGAAAAATTCTCACATTTTATTTATTTGTAAAAAAAAGTAATAATAATTACTTTATGAAATAATAAAAGGTTAAAGGAAAATTATGTTTTTGAATAAAATAATAATAATAAAAGTTTCTTTGTAAAACAAAAAAGAGATATTATAAATAAGAAAAGTGATAATTAAGAAATATTATAATTAAGAGATGTAAATGTTTAAACTAAGTAAAACAAAAGTATATTAAGTTAAATAATTTTGTTATATCAAATGGCAGATGATAGTAATAACATTATTAAAAGTTAAGTAAGATTTGTTATATTAAATATTTAGAAAAGATTCTTAATTAATAAAAGTTATAAAAGTTGTATCAGAATATTTACAAAGTTATAAAATATGAAACAGTGAAAGAATTCATAAAAGGGAAAAATTTTTAATAAAAGTTTTTGATAAAAATATTTTGGTAAATCAGGAATTATTATTATAAAATAAGTTATTGATATAAAAGATTAAAATATATTAAAAATGTAGTTCTGCCCAAGTTTATAGTACCGGCCAGATTTACCAAATGTACTGTATTTTAGTGTGAATATTGTGTAAATCTTGTACTAATTCGGTTACAATTACTTTGATGGAAACAATAAATTTCCATATATGGAGTCTTCACTCGGACAAATTTTAATCTTTACTACGATTTATAACGGTAATCCGGATTTCACCGGGACCTGACATTACTGAACGGGTACTTTCGTTAGGTGGGCGTAAACACTAATTAAAGTTACGTTTAAAAGAAATACCTTGTTTATTATTATATAAAAATATTTAAGACATGAGAGTTACACCTAATAATATATGAGGAGATGATCATTTTCATTCAGATGCGCGAACGATTGGTAACTGTAGAATAGATTTTTGTTCATACTATAATAAGTGTGAGTGGTCTTAAAGTTAAATGATTAATAATTTTTACAAAACTGATTAACACACATAATTCAATAACTTATACGAATAGAGAATGATATATACGATAACTGAATACAACATCTATCTGATATGTACAGTAACAGCAGTACAGTAAATAAAAGAGTTTATGTTTGGGGAGTTTGTCAAACATAATAAAAAAAATTCTCACGATATTGTTGTTAATTACATGAACTATATCCAAACAATTATATTGATTGTTTATTTTTTCATCGTATGATTTGAAAAATCAAATGTTAGAAATGTTAGAAGAAGCATAATTCTATCATACTGTAAGGAGATAAAGAATATTTTTCCTTTATGGGAAAATTATTATAACTACAGATATAATTGTATCACAAGTTTGTTTTTCAATTCACATACGTCCTAATCGGTGTCACGACACCCAAAGTTTCTATAATCAGTAGAACAAATCAATTTTTTTTTTTTTATTTCAACAAACTTTTATTCACCGAAAAAAAATGCTGGTGCTTTTTTTTTTTTGTTAGACATCGCATTTTGTAAACAAATAATTAATACTTTTTTGATTTGTTTCAAAAAGACGAATTTGAGTTATCAATTGTATGTGATCTACCTGTGTGACAAAAAAATGTAGGGCGATAGACAATCGTAATTATAAATGAGAAGAAAATTTCGAATTTCGCGATACAACTTCTAAAATTCTTTTTTTAACAAAAACCTTTTATAAAAATAGGAATTTAATAATAATTTACCTAAATTTACTTATTTGTGTTGATCATTCATTTATTAACTTTACTTGGGACTTTATTATTTTTTTTAAAAAAAATAAATTTAAACAATAACAAAGGATGGATGGCAGATAAGATAAATAAACGCCAATATGCATCCATTGGAATTTTCGAATGTAACATATTTTTTTAGAATTATTTATTTGAAAATCAATAATAACTGATAACGATAATAAAATTTAAAGTTCTCCTTCTCACGATATTTTTTTTTTTGTGCATGTGAAATAATTTGTAATATTAGAAATATATTTTTTGTAATGTTTCACATATGTTTGATTCATTATTTAATTCTGTATTTGATTAAAAGATTAAAAAAATAAAAATACAATCTTATAATAACGACTACAAAAATAGTCTTTTTGATCCATGTTCTTTGTTCTTTTTACAGAACTTTAATTATATAATATTATTTCGTTCGATATTATTGTTCTCCTTTGCATAATTGCGGAACTCCGTAAACGATAAGGTTTTATTATAATTTATTACAATCAATATATGTAATTTAGAATTTCTTTATTATTGAAATCACGCGTTTATATTGGAAAATTCTATCACGCTCTGGAATTTCAAAATCTTTCTTAAACGAAAATAAAAAAAATAATAGTTTGGATAATAGTTTGGTCCTTTTGGAGATGATTGGTACTATTATTAAAAAAAACATAATTATTAATTAGTAACCAATAACCTTTTAACAAAAATTACTGCAACTCTCTAAATAATAATAATATTCAAAGATTACAAATCAAAAATTCGTTATCTGATTTATCAATTTATTTACAACTTAATAAACTTGTAATTCAGGGGGAACTTCCATATATGGAATTTATAGAACAAAATAAAATAACGAAACTATAACATTATATTATGAACCTTAAATTTTAATATAATCCCTTTTTAAATAATTTAAAATATTTAATCCCTGAATAATTATTTTAATTATTTCCATTTTTTTTTAGTCGAAAATTAAGTTAATCAATGAAATCAATTTTGAAACGGAATGTATTTGTAACGAAGTACTAAAAAAAATTTTTAATAATCAAATTAAAAAAAAAAAAATAGAAACATATCACGAAATCTAATTCAATGCCGTAAATCATTGGTTATTTACGATTAAGATCAACTCCAATATGATCAATATATGATTGAATAATGATAACTGATAACTTTCGATAATTCATGATTTTATTTGCATATATAATTATTAATCAAATGACAATATATTGACTTTTTCGTTAAACTTAAAACTTTTATCATATGCTTATGATGTTTCAAAGCATCATGTCCTTTGTTCAAGATTTTCATTTTAGTAATTCGTTAATTCGTGGAATAACCAAAAAGATCGCTGATCGACATGTTTTTTATACATCAATAAAAATAGATAATATAAATATTTGGTGGGAAATTTCACCCTGCTCAGGATCTGCAAAGGATCCAAATATGGTTTAGTAAGAAAATAATTATCAGCCACGTAATTTTTTGTTTTAAAATTAAAATATTAAAATATTGTATGTAATATATTTATATAATTTATTTATTTTTATAAATTAATAAATTATATTCATTTATATGCCCTTGAATAAATTTTACGATAATTCATTCATTCATTATACAGTACACTTTAAAATATTTTACTTTTTTTACGTTAATTATTTCCGTATCTTCGTATCCATCCGTATCATTCAAACAATAATTATGTATGAAATTAAACACACGCATTATCTTTCTTTGAAAGGAACATAGAGGGCGTTATTATTTTGATTAATTTAGATTACAGGCTAAATGATTTCATATTTGTTTTTCTTAGTTGTTTTCATCTCATGATTTACACAAAGATGTTGAAATGGCGCGATATTTCTTTATTTATTTATAATATTTATAATTCATTTCTGTGATTTCCGCGATTTTCCGCGATTTGAAATGTTACGCGTTGTTCTTCCTTTTAATTAAGTTTTTTTGATTTGTAATATGTATCCTTATTCGTTTCATTTGTTCTTTTTATGGTTTGTATGATGCTGCGCAAGGTTTAAAAATTAAATATAAAAGCAACCATAAAACAGTCCCGGTCAAAATAAGAATATGAAAAGATATTCAAAAAAAAACTTAAGATATTAATTATGATCTTATTTCATTAACAAAATTAACAAAAAAAAAAAAATATTCCCCCAAACCCTCAAAACCGACTTCAAAAATTTCTAACCGTCCTTACCGTCCTCAAACCGCCATCAATACCGCCCATCAAAACCGCCATCAAAACCGTTCTCAAAACCCGTTCCCCCCGAAAAAAAAAGAAAAAAGAAAAAAAAAAAAAAAATCATGGTTAGTTAAGATGAATTAATTAAAATGAATTTATCCAAATTACAACTCTCAACTAATTTAATCTTTTTGCAATCTATAGCATACGAAGTAACTTACTTCAATTCTTTTCCGTTTTCGTTTCACTTTTTAAAAAATTTTATCCAAAAATAAGCTTATAAATTGTCTCTTTTTTTATATGTAAAAATAAATTATAAATCAAATAAATATATGATTTTATTATAAAATGTAATGAATGTGACGTTCTTATCCATTGCTGTGCCATTATCTTGATTACGAAATTAAGATCATCCTAAAATTATTATTTAAATTTAGGTACAATATCTGCTGCGCCATCTTATAAAACTAAATATTAAAAATCAAACCGATGATTAAAATTTTAAATATAATTTCATCATGACATACTCAAAAACTAACATTCCCCTTATTCATGTTAACCTAAAAATACAAACCTAATCGTCGAATTTCCTCGAAATTTTGTAGCAACAATATCTGATTCCTAAATCCATTTACCATCAATTGTCAATGCGAAAAATATAAATGTAAAAATTAATTCTTATCAAAATAGTTTCGACCTTTGCAACAACCTTTTAGAAAATAAAAAAAATTCAACTAATAAAAATAAATGTGTAAGAAGGGTTTCTTTTTAATTTTCTTTCTATTTTAGAATTCAAAAGTTGTGACGTAAGAAATTACAAGAACATTTCTTCAAATACTTTCGAAGTTATATCTAAGAATTTGATGATATGGCGTGTTTGTGTGTCTTATGGTCACTAATATATTCAATATTAAATTAAGCGAAACTTAAATTTCAAAATTCTACGTAATATTACTAAGTACAAAAAAAAAAAAGATTTTAAATTACACTATGATTATCTCTACCTATCAATGGTAGTGATTTTTGTTGTTATGAAAAATTATAATTATTGGTTAAATAAAATAAATCGTGGTTAATCGGTTAATCGGTTAATCGAATTCTATCGAATTCTTAAATATAAAATGTATAAATTGTTATCAGAATTATTTGCTACTATCATATCATATTCTTCTTTGTTTTAAAATATCTTTTTTTTTTTTGTCCAACGATTCTTGCCATCGCAAAATCTTAGTATAATATATTTCAAGTCGCCTGTCATATTATTAGTTCATTTGTCGTTACGGTACTACATCGTTTATTGTTAAAGTTACAAAAAACTGAATTCAGGAACAATGAATAAACATATAAAAAATTTAATTGATTAGGAACATGATTATTTATCTTATTTTATATAACAGGGTATGCTCCCTTTCTAAATTTTCGTTTCATTTTTTTATTTGTGTAAACCCTAGTTATTAGGCATAAAAATTATTAAGTTTAATTTTGATCAATTTTTAGTAAATATTTACTGTATATCATCAGTCTTTTTAAAAAGAAAGAGGTCTATTGTTCCATTTTAAAACATTGATTTTTCATCTCTAAATATTCTATTTCGACTCAGGATCAATTCAGAAGAATCAATTCAGGTTTTTTGCAGCTACACAGCATCCCTATTTTCCTTTAAAAATTAAGATGGCTTGATTATTCTCAACCAGTTTATTTATTTGATTTATGGTTGAAAATGGTTTGATTAGGGGTCTAGATTTCTCAATTGTTTACTTTATTCTTTAATCTATATTGTAATACAAAGAGATTGCGAAATAAAATTGGGGAGAAAAATTATTTCACAACTAAGAATTCTTGAATTTTTACCTTGTTAAAGGCTTTTCTGCTTCTGAGAAAAACAAAAAGCCGATCATATGATAATGTCAATGCGTGAAATCGTGAATATCAACAAGAAATAAAAAAAGGTTGAGAATTCATTTAGCTTATGGACTTTTCGTGACCGGGTAATTTATTTTCCCGGATATCCATTAAATATCCGGATTTTGACAGGAATCCGGATAAATTTAAATCCACCATTATTAGTAGTGGCGCAACAATTACGATCCTGATCGAAATACTATCTATATGGAGTATGGACAGTAATGGACTCAATTTTTTTATTAAAGTTGTACATAATTACTAATTTATGATTTAAATCTATTGAATTTTTATTAATATTATTTTTACGTTTTTTTATACTTCGTTTTTTTAAGTCATCTTTTGAGTGAAAGTGGAAAATTTATAGAAGGTTAAAAAAAAGTTGCATACGCGTCACGCGTCACGTCTAATGAATTTTGCACGTCTGAAATGTGTGTCAGGTTGACGGCGCAGTGTGGCGCAGTAATTCAAAAAAATCTAAGTTGAAGATTTTCTTTTTAATGTAATGCTTTCAAATTTACACATTAGATGTATTTTCATCTGTTTTACAAAATTAACTTATAAACGGAAGGAGGTTTTGGACGTAGATTTTGACTTTAGTATATAACAACTGATTTTATCGTCTTTGCCGATCATTTCCAAAATTGGATTTGTCAAAAAAACGGTTTTTGTTAAATAACTCGAAAATAGCCTTCTAAACCGCCCGTATATACTCTAAGTAAATTTGCAAAGCGGACGAAAATACATCTAGTGCAGTAATTTAAAGGTTTTATTTTAAATAAAAAAAATTGCAATTTAATTTTTTTTGGAAAAATCGCTGCGCCACACTGCGCCGTCAACCTGACACACATTTCAGATGTGCATGAATTTTACTAATTCACGACTTCGCGCAATTTGTTATTACAAAGTATTATAGTATTACACGTGGGTTAAAGTCAGTTACGTATTAAGTCAGTTACGTGCTTTTCCTTTTACAGTTACGAATCAAAACAATCTAAAATTCTTCACAACAAAACACGATAATTCCAACAAGATACGAAACACGATCCTAATTCAGTAACTTGCAATTTTGTATATAAATAGAGGTCTTGGTCTAAACAGTGGTTAACTTTTAAACTTAAAACTTTATCGAAAAAATTTTTTTTCACAACTACCCGCACAACAATACATTTTTTTCACAACTACTCGCTCAACTATACATTCTTTTCGCACAACTATACAAAGTTGAATAGAAGAATCATTTTTGATGCGCGCTATTTTCAAGGTAATTTATGATAAAAAATTATGACTTCTTTTGTAATTTGATAAAAAACTATTTACTAAAAGATCAATGACTTCTTCTTCTTTTGTTAGAATTGCTCGGGTCTACAAAAAAAAAATATCGGCGCACCTCCTACTCATGAGACAAATCTTTCTATACTTGACTTGGAATTAGCCCGATAGCTTTTCAGCTTTATGGGTTACAAGTACAGATAGATTTGATCGTTAAGAAAAAATCGCCTATCATTGCTCCGGTTAATAAAATGGTGTGGGAAGAGGAGAAAATCAGAGAGAAAGAAACCGGAAGGCACAATTAAAAAAAGATTTAATGTTGGCAGGCGCCTATAAAAATCTTACGGTCACGTGAGATTGCAAAGATAAAATCTCAACTCGCCAAAACCTACTACAGTGCATAATAACAAAATTTCTTTAACTCCTGGAGTAGGCCTGATGAGAAGCTTCATATAAATGTTGAAACTAAAGAACTGCCAACAAGGTCTAGCTTCCATGTTTTAGAAGGACTGTCTTGTTTTGATTCATCAATAAGCGCATTCCGCTCGCCTACATTTTATTTTCTTTTAATATATCTTCTTTTAATTGTATTTTCTGTTTTCTTTCCCTCTGATTTTCTTCATCTTCCTCCTCGATTTTTTTTTCTCAAGATGAAAATGATTTTTTTTTTTAATTTTACTGTACTTGTATTTTTATTTTAAACTCTTTTTTCGAAATAAATTTATACCTATTATGATATTATCAGAGTTTAAATTATTATACTTGATATGAATTTTGTCGAACCTGTATAAGATCTTTAGAAGAAGCAAAAAAAAATATGAATGAAGAATAAATCTGCTATAAAACGTTAATTATTTGTATTATCCATAAGAAAAAGTTGGTTCGGGCCCTCAGTTTCCACTAATGACCTTTTTATTTGTAACACAGATATTCTGATCAACGAAAAACCAAAAAATTTAAATCGTTGTATTCCACTTAATCTAGTTTCTTCCGCTATTCGCTCTTTCAACCTTTTACGCTCAAGTCTATTTAAACTAAAGTGTTTGATCAAGAGAACGAACACGGAAAGTTGCAAAATGACAAGCCAGCCACAGATTTATGAGCTGTGATGGCCTACGCAAGAGAAAGTGGAAATTGCAAGCGAGAGCAACTTCCGGTTTTATCTTCCCACATACGTCTTATAAGAACAATAGGCCCTTCTATATTCCTAGGAGTTGGACCGTTATACAGTCAAACCTTTATATAACGATATGTCGGGACATATATGAAATTTTTAGAAAATATCGTTATATCAAAGTTATACCGATATTTATATGTACTCACATATAGTGGGAAAATAAAATTTTATCGGTATATCAAGTTTTTAATAGTATATCGGTATATCGAATATCGGTATATCGAGGTTAGACTGTACTGTCAAATGAAATTCAGGTAACTGTTATTACCCCATTTATAAGACCAGCAGGCATTCTGCAGGCCTTAGAAGCTTCAGATCCACTCGTATGTACCGCATGAATCTTAGCAACGGGTTGGTTTAATAATCGAAGTTTATTCAAATTTATTTTATCCACTTCAGTTCTTCCCATGTTGTTAGAACATTGATGGCATCTGAAGTTTTTCTCTCTGATTCAGGAATATTTTCTGGAATTCGCGTCATTAATAATTCCCAGTCGGATCGTGTAGACCTTCCATCACGTAAGTGATATGAGAGATTTCTGAATTGTTGTTGTTTATCCGAGTTACCTGTTGTCTTTGCAAGCCTCAAGTTTATAAATTTCTTGAAATTGACTAGACACTACGACCTTAGATAAATGATCTGATTTCGAGAGTCCTGAGAATACAATGGGAACATCACATACCGGAGGAAGCTGCCCAAAGTCACCAACAAGAATTATGGATCGGCCAAAGGAATATTGGAGTGATCCGGAAATGCTTGCCGCGGTCGTTAATTATAGCAAGAAAACGACGTCCTACCATACTCATTTCGATTATAAAATATTCTATATATTTTAGTTTTCTTTGGAGTCTCTTCAAAGATTCACCTTCAAGCTCAACGTTTACCCCGAATATTGGAACAGAAAGTGTGCCTTCAATGTTAACACCTGTTGGAGCAACTACCATATTGTTCTCATATAAGTTACTGTATGTTCCTTTGCGATCTCATATAACCTTCCCCGAATAGCATTAATAAGGTAAGATTTGCCGGTTCCAGCAGTACCCATGACAATAATTCTTAAAGGTACTATGGATTCTACTCTTTCACATATTAATCTTTGTTTCTCACTTAGAGTTCTAAGGTCGATACTAGTTGTTCGTATGAACTTCGAACTGACTAGATGTTACTTGCTGAAATGATGGCAAATAGACAGACGCGTAGCTTAGATGACTTTAGTGCCCGTGATATTGATAGAAATCACGACTGGGTTAACGAAAGTTTGCTGCGATATCCTGAAATTGAAGAGGCAGAAAGCTTCATCCAGCAGGCAATTGGTCTTCCTATGGTGTGTCGTCGTCTTCTTCATCAGAATCGTTACCTTCAACTTCTTGAATATCATCCACAGCAGGTCCAATTGAATCATTAGAGTCATCATTGATTTCTACAAGATGTTGGTTATATAAATCAATCCATGAAAGAGTGTGATTCTCTGTGAGGCTAAGAAGGTCTCTATAACGAACCATTTTGAATGGGAGATGGACGTGGCTAAATACGTACAATGTTTTCACCAGAGCATTCTACCCAGTTGCCTTTTACTAATTAATATATTGTAATTATAATCTATAGATATAATTTAATATATAATATAAAAAAAATTAAAAAAACTATTTAAAGGACAGTATAATATTTTTTATTTTATTTTTTGATTAATTTATTAATTAACAAATATGTCTGAATTATTATATAACAAAATTTATAATTTTCTTATTACTTCACCATTAAATCATATTACTTTTTTTTCTGTTATTTATCAGATAATGAAAGATGAACCTTTAATAGAAAAAGAAGAATTATATAAAATAGTAGAAAAAGCTGGTAATGAAGCATTAAAAACTGAAAAATTTCAAAAAATGGAAGCACAAGATAAAATAAGTAATATTTTTGAACAGGTATGTTTAAAATATTATTAAAAATCAATTTATTAAATGATGAATGGCGCATTTTTGATAAATTTTTAGACTTATAAAATTTTAGTCAATTGGGTGAATCTAATAAACATACTAGTGTTGAATTCAACTTCACACAATAAAGTATGAAGACAAACCTGTGTACTCGTTTTATAGCTCTGTTAGTATCAGCATTCAACTCTGAGGACGCATGAGGAGTATTCAGGCTTTAATTTTATAAGTTTTAAAATTTATATGTAAAAAACAAAGTTGTTTCACTATGTATAGGCCATACAGAAATGACAACTTTGTTATAATATTCTGATAACATGAGCTCATGATATTAAAAATATATATTTTATTAATATTTTATTTACTAAAATACAATTTTTTTGCGCCAGTTTCAAATTGCTTTTGAAGGTGTTTGAAGTATTCGTGATATTGAAATAGATAATAAAGTTCTTAATAAAGAAGAAATCAAATAATATATAAATGATTTAAAAAAAAACTTAAGATATTTGTTTTTTTAACAATTAATTTTTAATATAAAATTATATAATTCTTTTTAAACAAATAATTCTTTATATGCTTCAGAAATACAATTAGATTTAGAAAATATAGATATTAATAAATTAACCTGGAAGAATCCAATTGCTAGCCAAGTAATTAGTGATGATTCAGATATAATAAAAAATTTATTAATAGGAGTATATCAATTTTTTATGAAATTAGCAAAACAAATGCAAATAGATAGTTTACCAAATATTATTCAAGAAGAATGCAATCAATTTTTAAATGATTTTAAAGAAGAAAATTTAAATTTATTATGTAATAAATATAAATATAATAATACTTGGATAGAATCAAATGAAAAATTATGTGAAATTACAAAAGAAATTCTTAATACTTTATAAGTAAATTTTAATATTTAAAAAATATTATTTATTATAATTATATAATTAATTTAAATTTTTAAGAGTAATATATATGAAATTGCTAATACAAAATAAAGAAACATATGTAACTAATATTATTGTTTTACTTTTACGTGTTACATTAAAGGATCTTATAGTTGAAAATGTTAATTTACTTAGCATGTAAGTTTAATTAAATTTTTATTATAATATAAATATTAAAATAATATAATTAATATTATTTATTTAGTGCTAAAAAACAAAGTAAAGCTAATGCAACTAGAAGAAAAAATTATAAAAAACAAGAAAAATGATCTGATATTATGTTTATGAAAAAAAAAATAAATTATTTGAATTTATATTTGTAAAATGTTTTCGTTTAATTTGTAATAATAATAAAAAAGAAAAGAATAAAATAAAATTATGGAAAGAGATAAATAATGAATAAATTATATATATATAAAGAATAGACTTGATAAAGATAAATTTCAAAATGCATTTTAATGTTATTATTAGAGATACATTTAAAGTTAATCATTTTTATCATTTATATTCTACTAAAATTCCAGTATAACCAACTAGTGATAAAATGCATTTATTAGAATTTATAAATGTATTATTACATATAAAAAATATTTTAATTATTGTATTACCAATTAAATTAAAATGATTAAGAAAACAATAAAATAATTATACAATATCTACTAACATGGAAGATGATTAATTATTATTTTTTATGTTTAATAGAATTTATTATTACAAATTTTTTTTTTTATTTTATGATTTAATGGTTATTTATTATTACAAATTATTATATATTTTTTTATTATATAACTAAATAAAATTTATATTAAGATAATTTTTTTAATTTTTATTTTATTTTTTATTTTTAATAATAAATAATTCCATTTTATTTAATAAAATAATTAAATATTATATATTTATCAAAGAATTATAATAGGACATCGGATATCTTTTATAGAACTCACAACTGACTTTTTGCCAAAAAAGACCTAATTTGCTCTTTTTTTATTTTCCATTTTTTGCGATTATTTCAGTATTTAGTGATTCGATTCATGCAGATTTTTTTTATTTTGTAGAACTCAATGAGAGCTACAAAACAAAAAAAAGTTCATACAAATTGGACTACTAGATGCTGAGATAATTGCAAAAAACTGATTTTTTTTTTGTAAAATTTAGGTTAATCTGCAAAAAAGTTACCACTGAGTTGTTTATGTAATATCCAGGGTCCTATTATAATAATATAAATTGATGTTTTTTTAATTTTATTTAAATATATTATTAATATTATTTATTATAAATAAAAAAAACTTATAATTTTTATTATATTTTTAATAATTTATTTATATTAAAATGACAATTATTATTATAAATTTATATAAATAAAAATTTATAATATTTACATAAGATTTTTCTACAAATATATACAGTCAACTCCCTCTATAGTTACTTCCGTTATAGTCACATTCTACTATATAGTCACACCAGTTGAATGTTCAAAATAGTGTTTGGAATCATATAACAGTTATTCAAATAACTCGAGTATATTCGAGTATTAGAATAAGCATAGTGGTTATTCGAGTATTCATTTAGCCAAATATAGTATAGTTAAAATTCTAATTGGACATTAAATCCTTAAATTTAACTGAGTTAAAATCATAATTCAGGCTAAAAATTATGTAAATTATTACTATAAAAAGAAATTTAACTTATTCGAACATTATTCGAATACACTTTATAAATTTAAATGAATACTCAAGTATATTCTACTATATAGTTACACCAGTCAGGTGTTCAAAACACTTTATTATTAAAATCTATCCTATATAGTCACAATCTATCTATAGTCACTATTACACCTATCCTCAAAAATCTTATATTAAAAAGAACCGTTTATAATCACAGTTATATAAAGAATATATTAAATAACTTAGCATCTAATAATTGTACAAAGATGTATCATAGCTTGTTAGAATTGTCTCACTGAGACGAATCGAATGGTGGTAGTTTTATCCCTTTACTGTGCAAACAGTCTTGTGACATTATCTTTTATTTATATTTTAACTTTGAAAACATGTAAGTTGAACAATATTATAAAATAAGAAAATAAACTAATAAAAAATAAAAAAAGTAGCTTCACGATTCATACAAATAAAGAAATCTAAATTAAAATAAAATTAAAGAAAAGAAAAACTAAACTATTACAGAATCGCATACCCCAACTTTACCCAAAGGTCAGTGTAAGTCAACTATCCAACATCCAAAAATCCAGTCTGTCACCAGAAAGTTTTATCCTTTTACAATCACTGGCTGATAAGTTATTCAACAAAATGTTAAGCATCGGCATTATTATATTTCTTGATTTACGTTTACTACGCCATTTAACATTTTGCTAAATATCTCAGTACTTAGTAATTGTAAAAAGATGATTAATAGCTCATTAGAATCGCCTCATCAAGATGAATCGAATGGTGGTAAGCTTATCTCTTTGTGATCAATATTTATGGAGGTACTACTTAAAAACTATTTAATATTTTTTAATTTCGGAAATTGATCTAGTGATTGGATTTCGATGTAGTATTTTATACCATTAGATTTGTCGCATCAAGACGAATCAAATGGTAGTAAGCTCATCTCTCTAGGATCAATATTGGCAGAGTTATTACACAAAAACTATTAATATTTTTTTAATTTCAGAAATTAATCTAGTGATTGGATTTCGATGTATTTTATACCATTAGAACCGTCTTATCAAGACGAATCGAATGGCGGTAAGATTATCTCTCTACAATTAATATTGGAAGAGTTACGATACAATGCATGGTGGCATTAAATAAATAATTTGTAAATATATATTAACTATACAGTCAACTCTCTTTATAGTCACACATTTGTGACAGTCTATATTTGGTGATTATAAAGAGATGTGACTATATAAAAAATTTCTTATATTAGTATATCATAATTCTGGCCAAAAATTAACATAATTTTGGCCAAAATTATACTTAAAACTTTATATATGATTTTAAACATATACAAGTACAAATTGTTTCTTCTGCAAGACTGCACCTTTTATATACTATAAGATCTCTACCACCTGAAAATACTCTTTCAATTGGTACATTAATAGCTAAAAATAATATAAATTAAATTATAATTATAAAAAAAATTAATAATATTAAATAGAAATAACTAAAAAATCACAAGCTATTGCTATTAAATGAGGATATTGAATTTTATTTGTCTATAAATAAAATAATAAAATTTATATAAATAATAAAAAAAGTATAATACTAAAAATTAAAGTTAAATTTTATACCTTTCATCATTGTAATATATCAGTTCCATATGGTGCAGTTGAAGTTGCAAGATATTGATTTAATTCATTATTATTTACTAAATATTGCCTTTTATATATATATTGAAGAAGACTATTTTCAGAATATTCATCTAAAATCATCATATTTTTTGTTGAAGTATATTTAGTTTTATATAAAATATTAAGATTTTTTTGAGCAGCTTCAATATATTTGTTTTCCTATTGTAATATTGAAGTTTTAATTTTAGATCAAAAACTAAAAAAAAGTTAATAAATAAATAAAAAAATCAATATAAAATAACTAAATAAAAAAATAACATACTAGTAGTAATAGTATAAAATAAAGCATTTGTATATTTATAATATTTTTTAAGCTTTTCTGTAACTTTTAAAACTGCATTTTTTACTTCCATTTTTATATTTACATCATCTTAAAATTTTTCAATTTCATCCATAAGCCAATTGTATATATGAATAAAATTCTTAAGTACCATATAAAATATATTTTGTAATATGAGAAAATATTTGTATAATATAAATATATATGTAGTTAATTATTAAAATAATATAAATAAATTAATTAATAGTATTTTTTATATTGGATTACTAGTTAGGGGAGGGCCAGAAATGACATCATTTCTTAAGGGAAGGGGGGGAGGGAGTATCATACCAGGATGCCATTACACAATTTCTTATTAGAAAATTTCATAATTCTGGGCAACATTAGGTTAGCTATTAATTTTACTGTGCCATAGTCTTAAATATTTAGATGACACTGTTACCTAAAACTACCCCAGTGGCACTGACAAAAATTTCACGATCACGTGACCAATTTTGTTGATTATTTCCAAAAATGGTAAGCAGATTTAACGAAAAAAATAAAAAATAAGAATAAAATATAATATAAATGCCATACATTTTTTAAACTTACATGGTATGTGTATTTTTGAACGCTCTACAAATTTACCTAGACGAGAAAATACGTTTTAAAATATTTTTTATATGATAATTTGTAAATAATTAATTTTACAAAAATCTGTATTCAAAACCTACTTTTATTGCCTAAGCAAACTTGCAGAGCAAGTAAATTTAGGTATAATATATGAATTTTAAAATTAGAAAATATCTGTAGTAAGTTTTATTCAAAAAAAAATAATAATAATAATTTTTTCATTAAATCTGCTCACCATTTTTGGAAATGATTGACAAAATTGGTCACATGATTGCAAAATTTTTGTCAGTGCCACTGGGGTAGTTGTTACTTAATAATTTACTGCGCCATAACCTTAATTTTCAGTTGTTACAATTTTACTTAATAAAATTTACTGTGCCATTTTAGTGTGACAACTTTTTTAGAATAACGTTGAACAAATGTTACAATTTTAGAACAATGAGCATTTCTAGAGCTCCGAACGAGTCGAGTTGAGTTGAGTTATATGTAAACTCGATTCGACTCGAGTTAAATCGAGTTGAGTTGAGTCGAGTTAAAATTATAAAAATATAAACTTGACTCGATTCGAGTCGAGTTAGCCCGTCAAACTGAATCGAGTCGAGTCGAATTAAATCACGTGATTTTATTTGGCTATACCAATCATTTTCTTTTTTTGGCGATAGCCGTTCCACAAAATTCCATTTTTGTAATTTTCAAAATTTTTCATCTCGGATTTTGTGTAATATAATTTCCAAAAAAGGAAATTCCATAAATTTGGCCGGAATTATGTTTAATTCGGCTTAACTCAACTCAACTCGATTTTATTAAATTATTAACTCGACTCGAATCGATTCGATTTGATTGTAATTTTCAACTTGACTTGACTCGACTCAACTCAACCAACTCGCGAGTCAACTCGACTCGTTTCAGAGCACTAAGCATTTCACATGTTTCTAAAATAAAAATGTTCGCCTCACTTTGCCACTTTCTTTTTCACAACAAAATTAAATTTTTTGTAAAAATGTAGTCACATCAGTACATTTATACTTAATATTTACAATGAAGCAAACATATTTTCAGAAACCAAAATATTCCAAAAACTACCTTATTTCAAACTTCCAAAATCTTTATGAACAGTATGTGAATGCTTTTGCATTCAGTAAAATGGTAAAAAGTCAGAGTTTGATGTCAAATAAAAAGGAACTACAATTACAAGCATAAAGTAGTTGGCGAAAAATCAAATCAGAAAATAAAAATATTATTCAGAACTATATTTCTGAATTATTAAAGACTCCTGTTCAATCTCCTCCCTTCACTTTTTTTTCACAACAAAATTTGGTAGTTAAACCTTCAGCCTCATCTCCAAATATTATTCCTGAGCCTTCTGCTAATATTCAACCTTCTAATAATGCAACAGCACAAAAGCAATCAGATGTTAATCTTCAAAAAACTAAAGCTGAATTGTGTGAATATGCTAATCTATCAAGAGTAATAACATCATTGGAACTTCATATACAATTTTCTTCAAAGATTAAGTATCTTGAGAAATCTATGTTATTAGAGAAAAAAATGCTCAAGCGGTTAAGAGGTAATGCAGAAGCTCAGAAACGGGCTAGAAATAAAAAAAGGGAAATGTTAGAAAAGAAAAATATTGTGGAAGTGTATGATACACCTAAGCGTCCATCATTTCTAATAAATGAACCTAATCTTTTAGAGAATATGCACAATAGCATTGAGTTTGGAGCTGCAGATTATAAACAGCGTAAAGAAGTAATTAAAGTCTGAACAATTAAACATCTTCGTGAAAAAATAGAGGAAAATTATGGGATTTATATGGCAAATTCTACAACACAAAATTATTTGTAACCCTGACATTTAAATACAAAAGAAGCAAAACGGTATCATCATTCTGCACAAATACATCTGGCAGCTGTTGGAAAAAATGAGATGAGTGATCATGTTGATGAACACTATTGCCTAGCATCAATAAAAGGCGTAAAATCATTTGCATCAGCTTTTTCACAAAATGTGGTCCTAATTTCACAAAATAATAAAGCTAAGGTAATTACATTTATTTATTAATTATTTATAGCTATAAACTGATAATTAAGCTGTTTATATTAGGTTCCATTAGGAATTGCAGAAGTTGGAAAAACTTTTAAGGCTATACAAACGGTAAATGAACTTGTATTTGTGCCTGATCATGATTTCCCAAAAGGTTCTAAACATAAGCTAATACCGTCTGTCTACCTGGTGATTAACCCTGACAATACAAATGATTTTCTACGTTCTGGTAAAATGAGAATCTTTGTCCGACCTGAATATTTTTTGGGTACATCATGTGAAATGCATATGGTTGATCTTATGACAATTACTGAAGAAGAATCCTTTCACGAATTCACACATCATGAAAGTGTAATAAAACCTATTTGGTGTTTATTAACAGATGGTAGGCCTGATGAAAACCCCAATTTTTTGCAAATATTTTAAAATATTTGCTTATTTTTAAAAAGCTTGATCTGGATTATCTTTTAGTGAGAACACATGCACTAGGGCAGTCAGCTTATAATCCAGTGAAGAGAAGTATAGTATTTCTTTCTGGCAAATTGGCAGGCATTGTATTAAATGCTTTTAATTATGGCAACCATCTTGGCAATATTAATGGGTAAACTAATACTGTAATTGATAAGAAGCTTGAAGTCTTGGACATAAAAACTTTAAACATGCTGGAGAGCATCTTTGTGATCTTTGGAGTCGTGATCCTATTAATGGACAACCAGTTATTTCTACTTATATTGAAGAGCATAATGATACTATATTTTCAAATGTTCAAGAAGAGAAATGGGAATGGATTGATCAGCATTCACAAATTTGTAAATATTCTCTTGATTTACGCAAATGTAAAAATAGAAGTTGCTGTAGATCACCACGAGCTCCTGATGCTTTTAAACTGCTATCATTAAATAGGACCCCGGATATCTCCAAAACAGGTCATAAGTCACACTTTCGGCAGATTGGCCCATTTTTCAGGCTCAAAAAATCGTTTTTTGTAAATATCTCGGCATCCAGTGGTCCAATTTTGATGAACTTTTTTTTAAATTGTAGAGCTAAATGAGGGCTACAAAATAAAAAAAAGTTCATTAAAATTGAATTACTGGATGCTGAGATATTTACAAAAAACGATTTTTTGAGTTTCAGCAAAAAGGGGTGTTTTTGGCCAAAAGTCCATTATGACCTTTATATTAGATATCCGGGGTCCTCATTAAATAATGGCTTTCTTTCTCCTATTGTGCAAGGTCAAGATAAACATTATCTTAGCTTGTTGTATACATTGGAATATTTTTGTAATTGGCTTCCTGGTTATGATGAGTATTATCCAAGCATTCCATCTGAATTATATCATGAACTAGTATGTCAAAAATGTGGTAAGTATTTTCCAACAAAAGCATTTATGAAAAAACATGCCAAAATTATGCATTCAAATAGAAAGGAGAATGGGGGTGTAGGGAATACAAAAAGACAGCCAATCTGCAATTTTGAAAAAAAGTCATGATATAGCAGAGGAATTAACATACAATGCAGATCAATCTAAAAATGATGGAACTGCAAGAGTAAAAAATAGTAGGCAAATCAATAGAAAACAAAGTGGTAACAATAGGCATGTAAATGGTGATGTTAAGAATTTACGTCCTTAGAAATTAAGATCATCTAACGTTTCAGATTAATTTTCATAACATGTAATTCTATAGCATAAAGTATAAATCTTGAATAAATGGTAATTGATTCAATTAAAAAAAGAAAAAAATCATTTATAAGTTATTTTTAAATTTTATTAAAATTTTTATCATTTAATTATTGATCGAACATATTAAAATAATTGATCACGTGATTAGTTGCATAATTTCTATAAATAGAATTGATAACAAAGGGAGGGAAGGGCAAAATCTCCAAAAATAAAATGACGTCATTTCTGGCCCTCCCCTTAATCAAATTATACAGTCAAACCTTGATATAGCAAACCTTTGATATAGTGAATTTTTCAGACAACTATAATAAATTCCCTCTTGCTATAATGAATTAACCAATCAAATCTCTTAAAATCTTTACTATAGCCCTATAGCGAAGTTGAGGTCTGGAACCTAGGGTTCATTATAACAAGAGTTGACTGTAGATATTATTAGATACTAACAATCATTCATATAATATGGCAGTTAATACTATTGTGAATTTAGGGCATTCCGCATGAATTAAATTTTTCTTCTAAAATTCAATTTGATGTAGACCCAATTTAGATTTGATTTGACCTCTAAAAATTATTATCTCATGATCTAGTAATTCAAGTTTAATGATCTTTTTTTAATCAATAGGTCTTGTTGCTCTAATCAAAATAAAAAAAGATCATTAAAATCAGATTGCTAGATCAAAAGTTATTCGCAAAATATGTTTTTATTATTCAGGAACAATTAGGATCATACTGTATTA